GTGGGCGAAGCTCTGAGACATCAAACGGGTAACCGTGAATCCTGTCAACAACGCCCACTGAAACAGTGTTCATGCCGTGCTGCTGTCTCCCATTTTTTGTGCAACCTCCACGTTCCTTTTATGATGTTGACGTTTCGATTCGGCTTCCACAGACCTCGTTGTATCGGTAGATTCTTGCCGGCGTTCACGGAGCGCTCCCTCTTCTCTAGCCCTGAGTTCAGGATCGGCTTGCCACTGCTGTCATTGTGCTGAAGGGGCTTAAGCCCTCTTCTCATCTTCTACAGTTTTTGCATATAGATTGGCGTTCCTGATAGCGTCGTTGTTCATGATGTCACCGGAGAGATTGAGCGGAGTGGAGTTTGCGCAGGCCATATAGAGCTATCGTGGCGCCCAAAGTAGCAATAGGGGAGTGTATTGCGACCCTCGAGCAAAACCAGCGCGTGATAACAGATCCAGGCACAGCTGTGGAGCATGCGTAGTATCCGATTCCTATTCGGGAGGTGCCGGGTTCGATTCCCAGTGCCGACCGCGGTACCACTGGTATTTCCCAATAAATAGAGGAGTACGCTGACGAGGTGCTCGGTTGTTTGCGGGTACCCATCTCGAAAGATGGCCCCACAAAGGCCTGCAGAGGCACATCTTAATCTACCACAGCTTTGACGAAAATCCACCGCCGCTGTGGGAAGCAGAAAATTTCTGCCGCCGAGTGCCTACCGGTTAAATAGACAGAAGGGCACTTCCAGCCCTCAGCTGAGCAAAGCGAAGTATACCGGGACTTGATAGCGCACCCACACTGTGGGAAATAGGTGGGGTGGGAGCGAAAGCCCTAAATTTAAATTCATCCTCTTTTTTAAGAGATCACTATGATCATGCGAACTTGGCAGTCTAGTCTACAAGCGCAATTGTTCAGTGAATTAAAGCTAAGAAATTTTGATCAATCTGCCAGGGAGAGAGAGAGAAGAGTGTGAGAATTTATTAGAAGGCAGAGCGGTCGGCCTGAGCTAGTTCGCTCTAGCCTGCTACTCTACACAGGGGATAAGAGAAGGGGGAAGGAAAGAGCGATGAAAGGTGATGGACGGAACAAGAAGAGGTGTTGCGTATGTACAGTAGCCACTTAGCATAGTACCCTACAGTCTAGCATCTAGTTCAGTGCTTTTCATAAAGACTAAAACAGCCTTTGTAAAAGCTTTGACACTGTTTGGTCGTTCATTGCTGACAATATGTGGCTTTCACTCAATGGCGTTCGTCCGTTGCTTGCCAACGTTGAAGTTAGCATTTTTCTTTGCGCCACGTGTAATGCACCGTCAAAAAATATGTGAGCTAAAGTTTCACGCACTTGGCAGCGCACGTAATTCGGGCTGTCCGCACGGCCAAATAGGTGGGTGTAGTGGCGAGTGAAGCTGACGCCCAGGCGAATCCAGTGCAGTATATTAGCATGTCTTCGGTTGATATTATCTGAAAGACGAGAAGTGGTTATGTGCCATATTGTGTAAGGCTAAAAGAAGCAAACAATTGATTGATTTGATTGATTTGTGGGGTTTAACGTCCCAAAACCACCATATGATTATGAGAGACGCCGTAGTGGAGGACTCCGGAAATTTAGACCACCTGGGGTTCTTTAAAAAAGAAGCAAACAAGCAAACATACAAACAAGCAACCTAGTCTAGCAGCCAGATACCACACTAAATGCCCTAATCGCACATGCGCAGTAGCTACCGACAGGGACATCGCACGCAACCTCCGCTCAGCATATGACTTATTGTGGAGTAGCCTGAACGAAGTCCTGCTTGTTCCTTTGGTTAAGTGAACTCTAATGTCCCCTCAACTCAATTAGCTACTATTTAGCTACTATTTTAATAAATATTTTGTTGAGAACGGAGAGCAAGGTGATCGGCTTGTAATTTTTCAAATCCTTGATGTTTCCTTTCTTAAGCATTAAATTGATGTTGGCGTTCTTCCAAGATTCTGGAACCCTTCCCGTCAACAGACAGACACTTCGTATATGAAGTGGCAAGTTTTTCTAACAAGTTCTCCGACATCTTTCAGCAGGTTCGTTGTTACCTTACCCTCACCAGCGGCTTTGCCTCACTGCATGCCTTCTCTAGCTTTCCTTACTTACCCTGTAGTTAGTGGTAGTTTGTCGAATTCGTCAGGGCTATTTTTGCTTCTTACGATATCATCCTGGTTATTTCGGCTTCTGTACAGCTTTCTGTAGAACTCCTCTGCCACCTCTACTATCTTATGTAGATGATTATGACTTTGCCTTCCTTGTTCCTTAATGCATACATCCGGTTTTTGCTTATTCACAAGTTTTCATTAGCAGCTTTCAGGCTTCTGCCGCCTTTTACAGCCTGCTCAATTCTCTCTATGTTATACCTTCGAAATTTGGCTACCTTGTGCGTATCGTGTGACTTCGGAAGCTTCACTAGCTCTGTATTGTTAGTTGTATTTGAAGCCGCCAGGATTTGTTGTCTCTTAATGATATTTTCGGTATTCAGAGGTAGGTTTCTAGTGCCCTGTCTTCTGACAGTACCTAAAACTTCAATTGCACACTATTTGATGATACTAGTAAGAGTATCGGTCAGTGTGTCAAAACTAACGTAGGTAACCACGTTAGAGACTGAATCTATTGTGAAATGAAACTCTGAATTCCTGTACTTTCTCTGTCCCCACTAGCTCAGTAATATTGCGCATCAGTTTATGTCTTTTCCTTAAATCTAGGTGAATACGAGCTCTTAGTATTCTATGGTCACTGCATCGGTTGGACCTTCGGATCTCAACAACTATTTTTAAGTCGTGTACAAGTGGCACATACTCGAGGCTGAACAATGTACGTTAAAGACGGCATTCCGGATACGTCTGGCTTGTATGAATTTAACCGGATGTCTTTCAATGTGCGAACTTCGCCAAGCACATTTGTGTGTGCTATGAACAACATGTTGGGCACGTTGATAGACTACGCCTACATCGTTTACTTCGATTATATTCTGGTCACCAAAGAGACAGAAAAAAAATCTGCAAAATCTCGACACGGTGCTGCAGAGGCTGCATAACAGGAGGTATCGACTTAACTGCGAGAAATGCAAGTTCGGGTAACACAGACATTTAGTTTTTTTTGAGATTCGGGTGAAAATCTATAAAGCGTTGAAAACGTTCTGTGTCTAAAATCATATATGGTTGCTCCGAATGAAAGATTCACCAGGAGTGACGAATTCAAGTGCAAAATTCATAGAGGTTTTTCTGGTAATTGATTGATATGTGGGGTTTAACGTCCCAAAACCACTATATGATTATGAGAGACTGCCGTAGTGGAGGGCTCCGGAAATTTCGGCCACCTGGGGTTCTTTAACGTGCACCCATATCTGAGCACACGGGCCTACAACATTTCCGCCTCCATCGGAAATGCAGCCGCCACAGCCGGGCTTCGATCCCGCGGCCTGCGGGTCAGCAGCCGAGTACCTTAGCCACGAGACCACCGCGGCGGGGTGGGTTCTTTTGGTAGTCCTTTCCTTTGTGCTTAAATCTTCCGCACATAAAAAAAAGAAGTGCTCCGAAGATTGACTCTCGTCAGAGTGAAGACACAATGGTGGCTGAAGCAGACCTAACCAGCGAAGGAAAAACTTTAGTTCAGGGACCGAACAGCGTAGTCTTGTATATATAATGAGTCTATATATATAATTTTTTGAAGCGGAACATCAGCGGTGCTTCCAAAAAAACTATAGCTGTTGGCAATGTAATAAAACCATAAAAATATTTGTGAGCCAATTCACCGTAGTACGCTGAGTTGGCTCTAAGCGAGTTGATCACTCTTCTTTGTTTACCTGCCCCACGACAGACAGATTTTGTGTTGTACGACACCCCAAATATATCTCGATTCAGCGGACGTTTGCGCGTATTTCGCTGGTTCATTGTTAGAGTGTAGAAACGTATTTCTGTTTCCCTGTAACGAAAGGCACTTCAGCGTAAAAAAAACTTTCCACTTTTTTTACTTGCAGGTAATGTGGCGATGTATGTGAGGTAAAATTTTCGGAAGCACATCAAACAAAGGTGTTGAAAAAGAACGTTATCTAAGCACGCTAACAAGTTAAATGTTGGCAACGTAAAATGAGAGGTATTGGGCCAGTCGGTTTTCATGATTAAACAACTGCGCTATACAGTTACTGCGAAATAGGAAGTTAGGAAGGAGACATAAATTGAGTTTATGGTTGGCGCCTGTTGTGTCCAATCAGTTCCTAGTCGACTCCCTAACTTTGCATTTTACAGCAATTGTAGCTTACTTATTTAGTCGTAAAAGAAGAAATAACCGAACAATGTTACACTAATGGGAATAGTGGTGTAGATATCGCAGGTATCAAGTTAGTGTTTTTTGAAGGTGTTTGAGTTCGGAACAGATGAACAAGTGAGTTTCGCATTTCTATGGGGACTTTTATACTTATATTTAAACGCTCATTTATTACAGTAGCGGGGCATGAACCCACTACACCTACTTGACACATTTTTTCGTGGTGTGTGCAGTGCACAAGAACACGCAGAAACGTAAAACTATGGCTGAATATGCATGTGACAGCAACAATGATACATAACATTTACTTTACTGATCTACGACGTCATTTAAACGAGGCGACGACCTCGCTTTAGACGTCAGTGAAATAGTTAAGCAAAATGAGAAGAAACGTTAACAAAGCCTTTTCTTGGCCAGTTTCGTCATAAGTGTACTGCATATCTATACGTCAGCCCCGTTTGTCAATTGAGAATGGAGGAAAATGTGTTTATCACCCGAGCGAATGCTGTCCGCATCGGCTCGACGAAAATGCTGCGTCCTTCATTTTGATAACAGTGCTGATAAGGCGAGGGCCACTGCTCCGTTTTTCTGTTTTCGTCTCGCACCCTCGGCTCACACTAAAACGCTACAAAAGACGATCATGATAACGAGTAAGCAGGGCGTCGGTTACTCGTGGCTTTCAACTATTTTCGCGGGAGGGTGCGCGCCGGGATGAGATTTTATCGCAGTGGGCTTTTGCTGATACGCTCATGTGCAGCGTTCGGGCATATACCTCGACATACGCTTCTCGCTTCGTGGCAGGGTGTTTTGTGGGAAGCGCGGTACATCGGCAATGTGGAGCATCCTCGGCGCCCTGCTTGCCATAGTTGTCGTTCTCACTATCCACGGCATCGGTCGCTGGTTTATCAGGTAAGAAATATGCCATGGTCTCGTTCACTCTGTTTTAGACGACATGTGCATCGCTTTTGAAGCTAGGGCGACGCAGCAAATCGGTTTCTTGCAGCACTGAAAAACAGTTCAACGAGTCACATGAAATGTCGTAGACCTTTCATGTGACTTTCGTTTCGTTTTTATAATGATTTGTATATGAATACACGTCGTGCCTGAAAAAGAAACAGCGTCATTTACACGTTGGTTATATATTTTCAATACAGCATGACAGATTTTTCTGATGGTATCGTGGCTCCATAATTACTTCCGGTAGCGCGCAGTGGGATCCAATCGCGGAGGCCATTTTTACAATGAGGAAGTCCAAGGACGGGACACATGGAGTTACACATTTAACTGAGCGAACTTATTGTATCCGTCCTACAGCATTGCACATTAGGTTTGCTACACTGTACCTAATAGATGGATCAGGCTGTAAAAAACTGCGTAATTAGTAATGTGGACATTAGGGTTATTTTGTATGCATGGTGAACCATGCACAGTTCAACACCGAAATGATGGTGATAAGAAGGACACAAAGGCCACTGACTTACAAGTAGTTTATTACGGCACAGAAGAAGAAAAGCATGAATAGAAAAGAACACAAAGAAAAGTATATAAAAATAAACGAAATGCTCGATAAATCAGCAAAGCATGGATGTATCAATCAATACCGTCACGTGCGCTGTTGAGATTATTTAGCACTCAACAAGACACAGGTAAACGATCTCCACAGAGCGCGTCAAAATAAAGGTTGATTGCTAAGCTTCATCTCTTGCTCATTTATAGAGCGTTTTGTTTTTGTGTTGCACCTTTTCTCCTCCCGTTTCGTGTACATGCTGCCCTTTTTTTGCGCCTTGTTGTATGCACGTTTCGGAAAGAAAAATAAACTAGTTGTCAGTCCCATTTACCCTTATCGTCATCTTCCCAGTGCTTTGCTGTGGCTCACCACTGTAATTGTGGTGTTCTATGGGTGCGTACTTTGCGTTATCACCGTGGTCCCGGTGCTTCGCAATCACGAACGGCGAGCGCATTCAGAGAGTAACATACTTTTTTAACCCTTTAATGACAGAATTGTGAAACCGCCGAGCGAAATGCAAGTTCTTCTCACTTTCCAGCTTTAAGTAGCAACCTTTAAATGATTCCTATCCATCTATCCATCTATCTATGACTTTTAGCTCTCCTGGCCGTTTTTATAATAGTATTGTTACGCCTACGAGGGGTTTATTCGAAGCAGACGTAACGGTCGACTCGACGGTATACCGCAGTGAACGCGAAGCAGCGAGCTCTTGCCACCAACCGAACGTCCTCTTCTTCTGCTACCACCATGTTCCCCGCTACACAGGTGCACATACCTAAATTACACATGTGGTAACACTTCCCTCCGCGCAGACGAAGCCCACTGGGCGAGTCAAACAGTCTCTCGAGGAATAAAGCGCTTCAAACGTGCAACATGGACAAGTTCAGTTTTTGCAGACCGTCGGCCGTTTGAATGGAGACGCGCTATGCGGTAAACTAAATCACTGATACGGTCTACAACAAGATAAGGTCCCGCATAGTGCGCTAGCAGTTTCTCGCTCAAACCGCGTTTTCTAGTTGGTGTCCACAGCAACACTAGGTCGCCGCGATTGTACGTCACGTGTCGGCGTCGGCGGTCAAAATGTGCCTTCGAGCGATCTTGCGAAGCAAGAGTGCGCAAATAAGCAAGGCGTCTAGCTTCTTCTGCCCGACAGATAATCTCGGATATGCAGGGATCACGGTGGTCCAAACACGGGAAGATGGTATTCAGGGTATGACGAGGTGGTCGAGCATATAGAAGAAAGAAGGGACTGTAGCCGGTAGTTTCATGCTGAGGGGTGTTGAATGCATATGTGATAAAGGGTAGAATACTGTCCCAGTCCTTGTGATCGGATGCAACATACATAGACAGCATGTTCGAGAGAGTTCTGTTCGTTCGTTCAGTTAGACCGTTCGTTTGGGGATGGTATGGCGTAGAGTGCCGAAACCTTGAAGCACAAACACGAAGCATCTCTTCCATCACGTCTGCTGTGAATTGTCGGCCACGGTCACTGATTACGATTTTGGGAGGTCCATGCCGAAGAATTACAAAACGTAGCATGAAGGAAGACACATCGGCTGCAGTTGCCGATGGTATGGCAGCTGTCTCGCAGTACCGTGTTAAATGGTCGGTGCAAACGACTATCCAGCGATTTCCATCAGAAGACCGGGGAAAGGGTCCAAGGAGGTCAATCCCGACTTGCTCGAATGGAGCTCTAGGGGGCGGCACCGGATGTAATCGACCTGAAGGAGCACTTGTTGGGCGCTTATGACGTTGACACTCGTTACAGCTAGACACGTATTGTTCCGTCGTCTGGCGCATTTTGGGCCAGTAGAATCTTTCTTGAAGACGGCACAGAGTTTTCGCTGTGCCTAGATGACCGGATGTTGGGTCATCATGCATAGCCTGCAAAACATAAACGCGAAGACTCTTCGGAACAACCAGAAGATATCGTGAGCCGGTGTTGGTGTAGCTCTTTTTGTAAACTAGCCCGTCTCGGATGCAGAAGCGCGTAGGCGATGATTTTGGTTTGGTAGCAAGAAGCTGTTGTACGGTGCTGTCCCTTTGTTGCTCATCCTTAAAGGTCTTGTTATCGGGAAATGGGTGGTCGAGTGATGCAATGTAGGTATCGATGGTGTCCGCGTCACATTCAATCGTTGGAAGCGGTAGTCGCGAAAGACAATCTGCGTCAGCGTGACGTCGGCCGCTTTTATAGGAAACCGTGAAGTCATATTCTTGTAGACGAAGTGCCCAGCGCGCCAGCCGACCAGATGGGTCACGCAGGTTGACCAACCAGCAGAGAGAATGATGGTCTGTCACGACGGTAAAGGGGCGTCCGTACAGGTAGGACCGGAAGCGCTGCACTGCGAAGACTACTGCAAGGCATTTTTGCTCTGTGACGGTGTAGTTACGCTCGCACTTGCTGAGCGAGCGACTTGCATACGCTACGACGTGTTCTTGATTATCCAAGCGTTGAACCAGGACAGAACCTACACCAATACCACTGGCGTCTGTGTGAATCTCAGTGGGAGCGAGAGGATTGAAGAGGCGAAGAATCGGATGGGACGTCAAAAGAAACTTCAACTCCGAAAAAGCAGACTCGCATTCCGGGGTCCAGTCAAACAGCGCACCTTTCTGAAGCAGACACGTGAGCGGGTATGCGATATTGGCAAAGCTAGGAATGAATCGGCGAAAGTATGAACAAAGCCCCAAAAAGCTTCGCAGTTCTTTCACCGAGCTTGGCTGCTTAAGTGCCTCCACTGCGGCCGTCTTGGCGGGATCCGGTCTTATGCCTTCTTTGTTTACTAAGTGTCCAAGGACGAGTGTTTGGCGCTCTCCAAAACGACATTTCTTTGAGTTCAGCACCAAGCGTGCTTTGCTTAGACAGTCCATTACGAGACCAAGGCGTGTGTTGTGCTCACAAAAGGTGCGCCCAAAAATTACAACGTCGTCCAAGTAACACATACACACTTCCCACTTCAATCCACGAAGAATGTTGTCCATAAATCGCTCAAAAGTTGCGGGCGCGTTGCAGAGTCCGAACGGCATCACATTAAATTCAAATAGTCCATCTGTTGTAACAAATGCCGTTTTCTCCTTGTCTTCCTCGCGCATTGGAATCTGCCAGTAGCCTGACCTCAGATCCACAGACGAAAAGTAAGAGGCCGATGATAGACAGTCGTTAGCATCATCAATCCGCGGGAGTGGGTATACGTCTTTTTTAGTGATGGCGTTGAGACGGCGGTAGTCAACACAAAATCGCCATGTCCCATCTTTCTTCTTCACTAGAATTACTGGAGCGGCCGACGGACTACATGATTCTTGAATTACATTTTGCTTGAGCATCTCGCAAACCTGTTCATTGATCACTGCGCGTTCGGAAGGTGATACACGATATGGTTTCTGTCGGAGAGGTCTGTGAGATGTCGTGTCGATTCGGTGCTTTATACGAGAAGCAGGGAATGACGGTGAATCATGCTGTGCGAAATCAAAAATACCGGCATGTTTGCGCAGAATACTCGCCAGTTCATTACGTTTCTTGGTGCTGAGTGACTTATCAATCATAGCCATAATGGTGGTGTCCCTGGCGTGCAGATTATCGCAACGGGTCTTATCCGGGGAATCATTGCTTTCTGCGAAGGTGGCAAGCGACAATACTTGGTGTTCACGAATCTCTGCAAGTTTCAGACCCTTCGGCAGCACTGTAGGTTCATTAGAGCAGTTAATCGCCCATAAACCAGTATGCCCTTGCGCAACCGATAATGTACAGTAGGGTATTAAAACTGTCTTCTTTATGCAACTGAGATGCACGGGCTCCACAGTTGCGTCAAATGTTTTCTCGCTTGCAGGGGAACAGGCAACAGGGACACATTTTGCAGACAACGGCGGCACAGTTGTGTCCACAGACACGCAAAGAGCACTTTCTTGAGAGGGCGAGTTTTCCATAAACGAAACTGGGATATTAGAATGTACTGTAATTTGTCCTGTGCGGCAATCAACAGTAGCACCACATAGCTCCAAGAAATCGAGTCCCAGAATGACGTCGTGCGTAGTATGATGGAGAACGGCAAACTCCGCGACAAAGTTCTGGCATGCCAAACTAACAGTCACAGTGCAGACACCAACAGGTTGTAACACCTCTCCGCTCACTCCACGAAACGTATCAGGACGGTCCCAACGAAACATAACCTTTCGTCCAAGAAGGCGGGTGAAAACTAAACTCATCACTGACACGCTTGCACCTGTGTCCACCAACGCCATCGTCGGTACACCATCGATAAGCACCCGAACCTTATTTCTAAGCATGGAAGCTAACGGAGGTATATCTATTGAAATCGAAGGCTGTCCGGCGACCTCACCTCCAACGGCCGCGCCGGCTAGTTTTCCGTAGGAGGCGAGGAGTGGCGGCGCCGAGGAGACGGTG